GAGTTTCTGGATTAATAGGCTAGCAATAATACCACTAGGCCATCACCTCCCCACGTGCAATTAAAAGCAAATCTAAAATTGGTGATGGTGACCATGAATCCCAAACTGTTGTAAAAATATTTCTGGTTTACTCATGTCATTTAGGGAAGGGAATTCTTTCCCAGTCTAGTGTGACTCGAGACCCACAGTAATGTGGTTGACTCTTCTCTACCCTCTGAACTGCCCGAGGAAGTCACTCAGTAAAGGGCAATTAGGAATGGGTAATAAATGCTGGCCCTGCCATTGATACCCACATCCATGAACAAATTTAAAAAAGAAATTGTGAATTTTGAGCTGTGTCACTGATGCTCCTGGCTCCATCTAGATGACGACACAGAGTCTAAAGCTGCAGACTGGATACCCAGTGACGACGAGAGGAGCATGCTGAGGGAAGAATTTGTGAGTCGCATGTACCAACGCTTTCTGGATGGGGAAGACAGAGACTTCGATTACAGGTAGTTATCAAACATAAGTATACAGAGTTGAATCCTACAGTACAGAAAGCAGCCATTCAGCCCATTGTGTCAGTGCCATTTCTTTGAAATAGCAATCCCATGTTAAACCAAACACATAGATCGCCCTCCCGCCAATATTCCACTTCCATGATTAAGGCGTTTCTTTGCCATAGCCAGGCTTGTCTCTTCCTGTTGATATCAAATATTTAATGCAAGCTCTAAATTTTATCCTTGTGTTTCCTCTCTTCACCGACCAAGATCTGTAAGCTCTTCCTCTTTGTTGAAATCTTGATGCCATTCATTGCCTTGTGGTTTCATTCCATGTTCAAAATCGTTCAGTGTTCCTTTTCTCCCACCACCTACAGGTTTATGAAAAATAACTTATTCTCTCCTAACAATTACTCTTTTGACCTCGTCCATTAAATTAATATCCAGCATCGTAAGAATGGCCTCTAAACTGTATTTATAAAAACATTATTATTTGTTATCCCTTTGCGCTTATGGCCATTTCTTACTTGAAAAAAATGCTTGTCAGATTTTGTTACTCTTGTCTAGACCTTGAAAATAATCTTTTAGATTAACCAGAATGAAACTATATATCATTTAACTGTTGCAGCAACAATGTAAATTGGTAATTGACTCGGCATCGTTGTGTCTTTAAAGCACTTTGGGTTGTTTCTGTGTTAAATAACCAGTGAGTCAGCTGCAGTTTAGCGGGTAGCATTCTTACCTCTGACTCAGAAGGTTGAGAGTTCAACTGTGACAGTCCACTGCAGCATTGAGAGAGTGCTGCGCTGCTAAAGGCGCCACTTTTCAGATGAGATGTTAAACTAAAGGACTTTTTTTGCGGGGGCGGGGGGACAGTGGGAACACATGGGTTTCATCTAAAACATCCTGTGACACTGTTTTGAGAAAAGCTCGTGTTGATTCTGCTATCTAGGGTCAATGTTTATCCCTCAGTACCAACAATGGGCATTTAACGTTTAGCACATTGCTGTGGGAGCTTGATGTTTGCGAATTGGCCACCATTTTAAAAGATACATTGATGACAGTGAAGTGCTATGGGGCATCCCGAGGTTGCTATACAAATTTAAATTCTTTATTTCCACATTTGCCATTATTCGCTGTATGGTTTCAGGCAGGAAGAATGGCCATTTGGACTGGCTGGCAGAGGATAGCTCTCACGTATCCCCTCCCCAACCACCCCACAGCGCGCGCGCACACGCACACCTCACACAAATGCCCTACACAACCGACATACACACCCCCACTCACATGCCCCCACACAGACACACCATCCACTCACACACACAAACACCACCCACCCCACATGCACGTGCAGCACACGCACACGCACCATTCTCTCACTCTCTCTCTCACACTCTCTCTCACACTTACACTCTCTCTCTGTCTCACTCTCTGTCGCGCGCGCGCACGCACTCTCTCTCTCTCTCGCACGCGCTCTCTCTCTCTCGTGCGCGCGCACACCATCCACACACATGCACACCTCACACAAATGCCCTACACAACCCACCCACTCACACACACAAACACCACCCCCCCCACAAGCACTCGCACCATTATCTCTCTCCCACACAATTCACGCACACACCTCACAGACACACTACTCACGCCCACACCTCAGACATGCGTGGGCTCACGCGTACGCTTCGCAGATGCACGCGGGCGCGTGCCCACGCACCTCACAGACGTGTGTGCACGCACACATAACCCCCCGCACACATACCCCACGTATGCACACGCACCCCTCACACACATTTCCCCCCGCCCCATATACGCATACCCCTCTCTCTCACGCACGCGCGCGCACCCACACACACACCTCAATCCAACACTTTTTTTTTGCAGTTTAGAGAAACATAAGCAAACTCTGATTAGAAAAACCACTGTTACACTTTCTGTTATTTACGGCCCATTCTCCTTTCAGTACTGTTGATGACAACCCGGATTTTGACAACCTTGACATCATAAGTCGTGACGAAGAGGAGAGATACTTTGACGAGGAGGAGCCAGTGGAAGTTGAAGATATGGAGATGGACAAGGATTAAACATTCTTCAGTTTATATGTTTTTTTTTACAGTTTTAGATTTAACAACATTTCCAAATCTCTCTTTTTCAAGGACACTGTTAGTGATCAACTGAGTAGTTTTGTGCACATTGTAAAACAATTTCTTCTTCCTATTTTTTAATAAGTGTAATTGGCCAGTTTCTGTTGTTCTATTGATTTCTGTTGCGCTAAAATCATTTTTTTAAGTTTGATGTACTAAGGAAGATGAAACTGAAACTGCTGACAGACAACAAACAGATTCCCATGGTGGCTCAGTGGGGAAATGCACCACCTAGAAATCAACTGAACCTTGCTTCCAGGTTTAGTTTCTGGTCCCTGAGGAGATAGCTGGGAAGGAAGGATTGGACCCTGCACCTTTTGTTTAGGTGCTAAAATCAATCAGCTTTTACTTTTCCAAATTGAACTCTGGTGCCCTCTGTTTGTTAAAAGTGAATGCTTGATGAGGCTCTCCGCAACTGAATTAAAAGAATATGTAATCAAAATTTGCTTGTTTTACACTGAAATAATGACAACTCTCTAACACCTTAGAACTCAGTGACACCTATAAGCCAGTTCCCTCAAGCATTTGTTTCTGCAAATGTAGGAAGAAATAGTCTGGAGAAAGGTAAAAAAGAAATACATGTACTCTTCCCAACTCGTGCTGGGATATGGCCTCCTGGGTACCCAGAAATCCGGAGGCCATTCTTTCCAGTTGGTAAAATATCCACAAACACCTTGACCCTGGGCAACCTGACCTCAAGTTCACAAATGCAGTTTCCAGCAGGGATTTTTCGGTGGTTAGCAGTGTCAAAAACTTATTTTCCTCTTTGTACCTTAATCCACTGCTGCCCTGGTCTAGCTAAGGTCTGCTAACTCGGTTTAGTGTGAGGATTAAACCCAGGGGCTTTTGGTCCATATGGATGAGTTCCTTATTGAGTGTGTTCTTACTAATAAACTGTGTAAAGAGTACAGCAGGATAGGCATCCTGTGATGTGACATTGTGATGCCATGACACTCTCTACTATGCATTGCGGAATTCCATCAGGCATTGCATGTTCTCTTTCTTATACATGGTTAGGGTGATGTGATAAAGAGCTGTTTTTTACCCCCCACAGGAGACAGAACCGCTCCTTGTGAACTGTTACAACCAGTATTGCCAGAGGGCTTTGGGTAGCTCACCCTCACCTGTTTGGCAGTGGGACTCCTGAAATAGGGAAAATAAGAGTGTGGGAACTAATGACAGAGATGTCTTTTACAGGAAAAATATAGCTCTGATTTGCTGGTAATTATTTGGAGTATCTTCTGAAACAATATCTTATTTCTTTAAGACTCTCACTGTCCTTGTTTTTGATTTCATCTCCATGTTCCCACCCTGGTTTTGATATTTAATCATGTGCTGCACAGAATTAGTGTTTCAATCAGCTTTTGAAGCAACTTTAAGTCAGTTGAAGAATTTAAATGTCTTTCATTAAATGGTTTACATTTTATTATTCATGTTGTTGCAGTTTCTCCCCATCGTAACTACTGTTCAGTGTTGGAAAGTCACTGGGAGCTTAAGTGTTGTTTTCATTGTTTTGCCTTCTTTTAACAACTGGAGATTATTTGCTCAATAATCCACAGAGGAGTGGCCAATTTTGAATAGTAGGGTTTGATTGTGTGGTGGTTGTGTTATTGGACTAGTAATCCAGAGAGTGGGTGTTGAAATTCCACCATGGGAGTTTGAGAATTTGAATTAAAATTTTCACAATCTGAATGAAACTGGCACATATTTGTCAGCTTTCACTGAAAATCCAACTAGTTCACTAATATCCTTTTAGGGAGAGAAATAGGTCTGAATCTTTACATGACTCCAGTCCCACACCACTATTTGTGACTCTTAACTGTCCCCTGTGGGGCAAAGAAGACATACAAAGACGAGGAGGCCATTTAGTCCCTGAATCCTGTTCTGCCCTTCAATGAAATTGTGGCTGGTCTACATCCTAATTCCACACACCTGCCTTTGCTGCTTATCACTTAATACCTTTGATTATCAAGAAACTAGAAATATCAATTTTGAAATTAACAAGTGATGTAGCATTAATTGTTCATGGAGGAGAGTTCTGAACCCCTACCAGTTTTTGTGTGTTGAAGTGGTTCCTGATTTCACTTCTGAAAGAGTTGGCTCTAATTTTTATACTGTGCTCCTAGACCTCTGAACCAGAGGAAGTAGTTTGCCTCTATTTACCTTATACTTGATCATTTGAAAGCTTAGCCCATCTTCTGTATGAAACATATAATCATACAAATTCAGCCCCTCAAACCTGGTCCCCATTCAGTAAGATCATGCTCATCTGATTGTAGCCTCAAACCCACATTACCATCTACCCTGATAACTTTTTATTGCATTGCCTAATAAGAATCTATCTATCCTTGCCTTTAAAAATATTCAAGAATTCTGTTTTGATTGTGCTTTGAGGAAGAGAGATCCAGAGATTTGTGACTCTTTGAGAGAAAAAGAACTGCCTCATCCTTGATGGAAAAAGACCATCCTGATTTTTAAACAGTGACCCCTAGTTCCAGATTCTCCCATTAGAGGAAATATCCTTTCCTCATCTACCCTGTGAGGAACCCTCAGAATCTTACATGTTTCAATAATATCACCTTTTACTCTTCTAAAAGTCAGCAAAAAAAAGCCTACTCTGTCCGTTCTTTCCTCATAAGACAAATCACCACACCTCTCCCCGAATAAAGGTATCAGTTTAGTTAACCTTCTGTGAACTTCCTCTAATGAATTTATATATTTCCTTAGATAAGGTGCCAATACTGTACACTATACTCACTAGTGCTCTCTAAAACTGAAGTATTCAATTTTCCCTGTGATATCTGATAACGTTCTATTAGTTTTCCTAATTACTTGCTGTACGTGTATACTAAGCTTTTTATGATTTGTGCCTAGGACACCCAGATCCCTCTGCATCTCAGAACTCTGCAATTACTCATCATTGGTGAGAGGAGAGAGATTTTAAAAAGACATAGGAGGCAATTTTTTTTACAGAGGGTGGTTCGTGTGTGGAATGAACTTCCTGATGAACTGGTGAATGTGTGTAGTTACAACATTTAAAAGACAGTTTGATGGATATATGAATAGGAAAGGTTTGGAGGAATATGGGCCATGAGTAGGCAGGTGGGGCTAGTTTAGTTTGGGATTAAGCTCGGCATGGACTGGGTGGACCGAAGGGTCTGTTTCTGTGCTGTATGACTCTATTTAGAGAATATGCTTTTTAAAAAGAAATTCTATATGCCAAAATTGGTAATTTCACATTTTCCCCCATTATACTCAATTTGCCACATCTTTGCCAATTCACTTAGCCTATCTATATCTTTTTGTAGCCTTCTTATGTTCTCTTTACAACTTGCATTCCTACATATCATTGTATTGTCTGCAAATTTGGCAACACACCTTCTGTCGTTTCATCTAAACCACTTTTATAAATTAGAACATCGAACTGTAGAATCCGGGAACGGGCTCTTCAGCCCACGATGTTGTGCCAAACACTACACCAAATTAAGCTAATCCTTCTTGCCTACCTTTGCTCCGTAGCCCTCCATTCCTTGCATGTTCATGTGCTTATCTGAAAGTCTCTTTAAAAGCCCCTATCCTATCTGCCTCCGCCACCACCCGGTAGTGCATTCCAGACTCTTACTGCTCTCTGTGTAAAATACATGCCCCTGGCATCTCCTTTGAACTTTCTCCCTCTCACCTCAAATGCATTTCCCCAAGTTTTAGACTTTTCAACTCTGGGTAAAAGATTCTATCTAGTGAACCCTGCTGGAAGGTAAGCGGGAGAGTAGATGTTAGAGACAAACCACATCTTCCTTGCATGTGATAGAGGCTCCTCCCGCACCCGTCAAATATTTGTTGACCCTCACTGTCTAGCGTTAGAGGTGAAGCACATCCACTCCAGCCAGTTTCTTGAGAACTACAGTGCAGGAATGGCTGTCACCTTCTGAAGTGGAGGGGAGTTAAGATTTTGTTGAAATTGCTTCTGACAGGAATTGTTTGCATACAGTCTTCCATAGGGGAGGCAAGGCTAGGTGAGATTCGAACTGCTTTAAAACTTTGTACAGAGTTAAAATCGGACCCAGTGCTCAGCGTCTGGATCCACCGAAGTTGCACAAAATTAATATTGTTTTTTCGTGCTGAAAAGGTTTAGGATATTGTTTTACACATGTATCGATTTCCAGAGATTAAAATAAAATGTTTCTGAAATAGCAATTTCTCAGTTTTCCTGCTTGAACTTTATTTTGGAATAAGAGACTTTAGCTTATGTACTGGACATGCAGGGATCATTAAAACTCTGCTTTCTCTCCACAAATGCTGCCACACATGCTGAATTTCTCCAGCAATTTTTGTATTTGTTTCAGATTTCCAGCATCCGCAGATCTTATGTTTAGAATAAAACAAAAGTTGAATTTTGTATCCATGAATTAACCTTGTATAGAAAATAGTGTTGCTGTCTCTATGGGTTTGACTAACTCCACAAACTAGTCATTCAGACACATTGTATGACATTGTCTGAACCACCCCAGTGTATTACAGCGTCATGCTTCACTCTCGGCCTTCAGAAATACATCGTGTACCATCATAAATAAACAAAAGAGAGAGACAGGATTGAAAATTAACATCTCGTCCAAAGAACAGCATTCTGTACAACTTCAAAATCCTATTGACCTAAATGGGATTTCTGAAGCGGGGTGTGAAATCAGAACATTGTGAATTGGGGAAGGGAGTGTTTCCACCTGAAATATGATTGACACTTCCTTCATTGGATCCCTACATGGTAGAAAGAGGCCACTTGACCCATTGAGTCTGCACTGACCCCCAAAGAGCATCCCACTCCAGACCCTATCCCCATTACCCTGCATGCAGTTTTTAACCATGGCTAATCCACCTAACCTGCACATCTTTGAACTGTGGGAGGAATCCAGAGCACCCAGAGGAAACCCATGCAGACAATATGCAAACTCAAGACAGCTACTGAGTTTGGAATCAAACCCGGTCCAGGCATTTGAGGCAGCTGTGATAGCCACTGTGGCACCCACACAAATTGTAGTGGAAATCTGAGACTCTCTCCCAAAAGCTGCTGAGCCTGGGGAAAATTGAAACTTTAAAAAAATGAGATTGATCATTTTATTTTGGGCAAGGATATTAAGGGAAATGGATCCAAAGTGGGTTAAGATACAGATCAATCGTGATCAAACTGAATGATGGAATAGGTCTGAATGGCTTAATGATATCCTCTTGCTCCATTTATTGTCCTAGGTTACAATATTGATAGAATTTAGGTCAAAGTTTGCTTTGATCACTGGTCTGGATTCCAGGTTCAATGAAATAGTTACGAGGTTACAATTGCAACTGGCATTTGCCTGGTTCCTAAGGTTGAGTCAGGTTGGAAGGTCAACTGGCCGGAATACTAAGATGACTAACTTAGTTAGCATAATTTCTGTTCTGTTACCACAGGTCAGAACTGGTTTCCAGGGTCACTAGTCTGACTGGAGATGGCTTAGTTGGTAGGGTCAGGTAGTCTTGTTGCTAGGACCAGGTCAAATTGCTAGTGGCTGATTGGTAGTGCTGGTTAACTGGCCTGGTTGCTAGGGACTGGTTACTGGGTCCTGGCCTGGTTGCTAAAGAACTGTTTACTGTGGCCTGGACTGGTTGCTAAGGACTGGTCAGAGGGACTTGGCCTGGTTGCTAAGGGACTGAATGTGGGTCCTGACCTGGGTGCTGAGGGACTAGTCAGTGGGTCCTGACCTGAGTGCTGAGGGACTGGTCATTGGAGCGTGGACTGATTGGTAAGGGACTGGGGCCTGGCCTGGTTGCTAGGGGACAGGGTGCTAGGATTTCCTGTTGGGCGCCCGGAGATGACGTCTGGCGCTCCGCGGAGCTGCTGCCAAGATGGTGTCGGTGACTCTCGGTGAGTTGGTGAAAAGCGGCCGGATCCGGGGAGGACGGAGTGGCCGAAGGCCGGGAGCTCGGGGGCCCCCCGAGGCTGAGTGGAGGAGGCTGCGGAGGGAAAATCGGGCTGAAGTCCGAAGCCGCGGTGTTCAGGCCTGGGCACTGAGTGGGCGCTGGGCCCGGGACCCACAGCTTCAGGGCCCGGAGCCGGCTCGCTGAGGCAGGCGTTTTCTTAACAGTCAGATCCCCGCCATATGTCAGCTCACCCCCGGCTGGGAGCCTGAGAGACCCCGGCACATAGTTAGAGAGTTCCAGCAAATCTTATCCTTCCGCGAGTTTAATTCCCAAAGCAGCTGTTCCTTTGAATGACAAATTCTATTTCTAGCCTCTGAGTCAGAGGGGAGTTTGCCAATTCCTCACCATTTTGGGCACAAAAGGTCCAGGCTGACCTTCCCTGTACAGTTCTGAGGGAGTGCTACACTGTCAGAGCTGTAGTCGTTTGGATGAGACTTTAAGGTGAGACCTGACCATACTCTCAGATCTTTACAGGATGCCCTTTATCTCATTGGTCAACAAAGATCTGATGACACTCATCCCATTTTCCAGCTCTTAGCCTTGTGCAACCCGATTGAATGTCTAAATACTGCTTAAATGTTGCAAGAGATTTTTTTTAAAATTCACTCATGGGATGTGGACAAAATTGGCAGGGCCAGCATTTGATTGAATGATTTATTTCTTATTGCCACATGTACCAAGGTACAGTGTAGTGTTGGTTTGCATGCTATACACACAGATTGTACCATACTAACTGCATCAGGGTAGCCGAACAGAGTGCGGAATGAAGTGTTACAACCACAAAGCAAGTGCAGATAGAGAGACCAGATTAATATTTGAGAGGTCTGTTGAAAAGTCTGATAACAGTGGGAAAGAAGCTGTTCTTGAATCTATTCGTACATGTGTTCAAACGTTTTTATCTTCTACCTGATGGAAGAGAGTATAACCGGGTTGGGAGGAGTCTTTGATTATGTAGGTTGCTTTCCTGAGGCAACAAGAAGTATAGATGGAGTCAATGGATGGAAGGCTGGTTTGCGTGGTGGACTGGGCTGTGTTCACGACACTGTAGTTTCTTGCAGTCTTGGGAAGACCAATTGCCATGCCCTGTGTGGTGCATCCAGATAGGATGCTTTCTATGGTGCATCTATAAAAAATTGGTATGAGTCCTTGCGGACATGCCAAATTTCCTTAGCCTACTGAGGATGTAGAGACATTGTGCTTTCATGACCGCCTTTTTGATGTGGGTGGACCAGGACAAATCATCATACCCAGGAACTTGACACCCTCGACTATCTCCAGCTCAGCACCATTGATGCAGACAGGAGCGTGCCCTCCACTTTGCTTCTTAAAGTCAATGACTAGCCCTTTAATTTGCTGATGTTGGTGGAGAGACAGTTGTCTTTACACCATGTTGCTAACCACTCAATCTCTTTCCTGTATTCTGTCTTGTCATGACTGAGATCCAGCCTACAACAACGGTGTCAACAAACTTAAAAATGGAACAAACAGAAATTGCTGGAAAAGCTCAGTAGCCCTGGCTTCAATATCTGCTTATGTTTCTGATTTCCAGCATCCACAGTTCTTTTCTGTTTTTAACTTGTAAATGGAGTTGGAGTGGAATTTGGCCACACAGTCATGAGTGTATAAGGAGTATAGTAGGGGGCTGAGTATGTAGCCTTGCGGGGCACCAGTATTAAGGATTATGGTGGAGAAAATGTTGTCATCTTTTACTGTTGAGGTCTCTGGGTCAGCAAATCGAGGACCCAGTTGCAGAGGTAGGAGCTGAGACCCAGGTCTTGGAGTTTAGAAATGAGTTTGTTTGGAATTATGGTATTGAAGGCAGACTGTAGTCAATAAGCAGGAGCCTGATCTACAGTGTACGTCTCGCCCCAATGCGGAAATGAAGTGTGCACTTATTATCCAGATGTTCCAGGGATGAGTGTTGCGCCAGGAAGATTGTGTCCGCTGTGGACCTGTTGCGAATTGCAAAGGGTCAAGGCAGTTTGGTAGGCTGGTATTGATGTGAGCCATGACTAACCTCTCAAAGCACTTCATAATTATGGAGGTCAGAGCCATCGGGCAGTAGTCATTGAGGCACGCTCCATAATTTTCCTTTGGCATCGAAATGGCGATGGTCCCCTTGAAGCGGGAGGGGACTTCAGATTGTAATAAGGAAAGGTTAAAGATGTCTGCGAATATGCATGCCAGTAGGTCCACACAAAATCTGAGTGCACGGCTGGGGACTCCACGTGGGCTAGTTACTTTCCCAAGGGTTCACTCACATGAAGGCTGATCTAATGTCTGCGGCGGTGACCTTGGGTACAGCTGTATCTGAGGCTGTTAGGATAGGGTGACATCGTTCAGTGATCTTCTGTTCAACGTGAGTGTAGAATGCATTGAGCTCATCGGATAGGGATGTGCTGTTGCCCACGATTCTATTTAATTCCGCTTCGTGGCCTGTTATGTCGTGTGAACCTTGCCACAAATGACAGGTGAACCTGTGGATAGTCTGGGTCTCAAGCTTAGTTTGGTATTGCCTCTTGGCATCTCTGATGGCCTTACAAAGGTCATACCTGGATTTCCTGTATAGGTCGGGGTTGCCCGACTTGTACACCTTCACCCTGGACTGCAGTAAGGAGTGGATCTCCCGGTTCATCAGTGGTTTCTGCTTGGGGAACATTTGGATTAACTTCTTCAGGCAATCTTCTACACACTAACTAATGAAGTCTGTGACAGTAGTGGCACGCTTGTTTAAATTGACAGCTGAGGTCTTGAATATGGACCAGTCCACCAACTGTAAGCAGTCACATAGAAGCCCTTCCATTGCTCAGAACATCACTGCACTACTTTCCGTACCGGGTCCTCGTGCTTCAATTTCTGCTTGTAAGCAGGGACGAGAAGCACAGCATTGTGATCTGATTTTCCAAGGGATAGCGCAGTAGACATCTTTGGTTGTATACCAATGATCAAGGAAGGATGTTTGGACCTCTGGTGGGGCTGGAAATGTGTTGATGGTATTTTGGTAACGCATTCTTGAGGTTGGCCTGGTTGAAGTCACAGGCTACGATGTGCGAGGCCTTGGGATATTCCGTCTCAAGGCTGTTTGTAGTGTTGAATACTTCGTCAAGTGCACTCTTCACTTCCGCATTGGGGTGAGACGTAGACTGTAGTTAGGAAAGTGGAGGTGAATTTACATGACAGGTGGTAGAGACAGCACTTTACTGAAAGGTATTCTTGGTCCAGGGAGCAGTAACTTGTCAGAGTTGCCATAGCTGAGCACCAGGAGGTGTTGATTAGGAAGCAGACCCCACTGCCCCTTTCCTTGCCCGAGTACACTGAGTGGTCCATTTGGTAAATTGAGAAACCTTCAGGTTGTAAGGCACAGTCAGATGTAGAAGGAGTGAGCAATGTCTCTGTAGACAGAGTGCACAGCAGTCTGTTAACTCCCTTTGGCAGGTGAGTCTAGCTTTAAGTTCATCATTTTGTTTTCAACGACTTGAACATTTACGAGGAGTACGCTGAGATGGCGGGACTTGAAACCTAAATAATTTCAGTTTCACCTGAAGTCCAGCAACGCCACCAATGTTTCCTCAGTAGGTGGCTGCTCCTAGTTGATCCCGAGGGAAATCTGCTCCAAGAGGTAAGTGTGTGCTCCCAATGGGATCCTGGGCACCTTTCATGGCCTTGAGTGTTCTATGGGGTCTTGTGGCCGGTTCAGTCGGGCCTCCTGGATGTTGGATTTATTGCCTATTCCTAGTTGCACTTGAGAAGGTGCTGGAGGGCTGCTTTCTTGAACTGCTTCAGTCCATTTCTGATTCAACCTCTCCTTCAGACTGAGAGTTGCAGACTTCTGCTACTCTCTGGGTGAAAAAATTCTCACCTTAAAATCTATGCCATTGACCTGTGCATGCTACGGACCTCATGATCATCATTACTTCCCAGGTCCTACTATTTATAGTATAATCCCTTGCATTGCTAGTCCTGCCAGGTGCATAATCTCACACTTTTCTAAATTGATTTCCATTTGTCCACTAGCCTACGTGTCTGACTGGTCCGTTGATGATCTCCTGTAGTTTATGGCTGTCCTGACTATTTACCATCCTACCAATTTTCGTGTCATGTGCAGACATCTTGATCATGTGCACTATGTTTGAGTCTGTATCATCAATGTACGTCACAAACAGCAAAGACCCTAGCACCCAGTCCTATGCAACTCCACCAGAAATAGCCTCCAGTCACAGAAATATCCCTGAACTATCATTCTCTACTTACTTCCTCTCAGCCAATTTTGGATCAATTGGGCCACTTTGTCTTCTTAGTTTCTTAACCATCTGCTAAGAGTGACTTAGATTTTAGCAAGGCTTTTGATTATGTAGACCACATCAAGTGCATGACTCTCATCAATACTCCTGGTTATCTCTCAAAAAATAATTGGTCATATTTGTCAAACACTATCTTCCTTTAACAAATCCATGCCAATTTTCCATGATTAATCTGTGAATTTCCAAGTGCAGCTATATTCTGTCCCTCAGAACTATTTCTGATGCAAAAGTAGGGAGGTTATAATTCAGTTGTACAGTGCATTAATGAGATCACATCTAGTGTACTGTGCACATTATTAGTTTCTTTATTCAAGGAAGGATGTAAATATAAACCAAAAGAACTGCGGATGCTGTAAATCAGGAACAAAACCAAAGTTGCTGGAAAAGCTCAGCAGGTCTGGCGGCATCTGTGAAGGAGAAAACAGAGTTAATGTTTTGGGTCTGGTGACCCTTCCTTGGCACTGTTTTCTCCTTCAAGGATGTAAATGTGTTGGAAGCAGTTTACTGAACTAATACTTAGAATGGATGGGTTTTCTTAGGAAAGATTATATGGGCTAAGTACGTGTCTGCTGGAATTTAGAAGAGTAGAAGTTGACTTAGTTTAAACATACAAGACTCTGGGTAGTTGCGGAAAGGATGTTTC